TTTTTGCATATGACATTTCTCTTTATGTATTTTAATATGGAGTTGTTGACTCATGATCAGTTTGTGATATGCTGTCCTTCGCAGATCCTTTTCCCATAGAATTGCCGTACTACTGATGAGTCCCTTCAGTGGCTACGTACGCTGCAGTCCTCTTTTTTGAATCATAGCATGTATTTTCAGACCACTTGCTTGTCTGATAAAATTATTATTAATTCAGAATTTGAACAGTGTTCTTCAGCATACTAGGATAGCACTGTTTGCATAGTTAATATTGTCAATGAATGCAAGAAAGATTGGACTAAGGTAAGGCATTTTTTTTCAGTAGCATATTGCTGTGTGAATTAGGCTTAAGATACTCAGGAGGTACTTTCAAATTTATGATTGAAATCTGATTTCAGCACATTAAGGCTTTTACAGTACATTTATTTATATACTTATATTTTCTTTCGAGCCAGCAATATGAAGAGGAAATAGTAATAAGGTTTTATTGAAACGTACCTGCCTCTAATCTGGTATTTATAACAGTAATCTGGAGAAAATAGATCTCTACTGTCGTGGAAATTTAGGCAGCTGTAAGTATCAATTTTGTGTGTGTGTGTGTGTGTGTGTACAGGAGAGGGAGCAATATGTGACAAAAACTAGATAATGTCACTGACTGTCATTGACACAATGAGAAGCCAGAGATCCTGTACATGCCAAGGCCTGAGGGCTTAATTTGATATGCTGTCTGAGAGAGTGGATTGATGCTGCAAGAAAGTGAAATGGTCAGGGGAGTAGAAAAATGCGTTCCTTGCACTAGTTTGTCAGTTGTTGAATCTACATATACGATCACAATTTCTTACATGAATGTTGTTAAGAAGCAGGCAGCCAAACTTCTAAACAAGTCAGCAGAGTGGCAAATGCATTTTTCAAATTAAAAAAATTGTTATCCTGTATATCTAAAACACACTGATGAACATCTAAATTGTTCTTCATAATGTCTTGCTTTCATTTTATACAGAAATCATCAGACATTTTAACTCTGATAGGCTTCCAAATCCTCTACCCTTCCTCAGGAATAAATCATGTTCATTCATGCTGCATAGGATGGCTTTCTATGCTTTAGTTTCCAGCCTCTGTCCCTCCAGCCTTCTTCCCGCACCTTCCCTCCCTCAGACATCTTGTTTCCTGCTGAATTTTTTTTTCCATTTCATTCTGCTTAAAACAGCTCTGACCAAACTATTATATTCTGATGGGAGCCTTTGGTCATTGTTCATCTTAACAGTAGTTCCCAAAGACTCTAGGAGTCTGGTGCATGACGTGCCATGAAAACAGACTCGGTATATTGCCAACGTGGTAGTAATAATTGCTGACATGATTTAGTAACAAGGTACTGAACAAGGTACTGAATAATTTGAACAGTGTCTATTCAAATCCATCTAGATTTGAATTTAGCTAAAAATTGGTTCTTCCCAGCAGCCACAGGTATTGTTATGTAGCCATCATAAACATTTTAAAGGAGTGTTGACAGACCCTGGAAATAAAACTGTTAGCTTTGGTAGACATATCTACACTATAGTGGAAAAACTTTGGTTCCCATTTAGATGAAAATAGTATTTTAACTGGAAAGGTTGTGCACAAGTGCTTCTAACACAAATCTCTATTCAATAAAATGTCTCTGTGTTCACATTATATTTTTAATATTTCAGGACTCTGGTGACAGCATATAGTATAAAAGTAATTTTGATTATTTCCCACTTGAAATTGTGAGAGGGATATAGTTCTATTATATTCCATTTCAGTATGTTAGATTTGTTTACAATAATGTAAAGTATAAAAAGATTCCATTGTTCCTATCCTTTGATTCATGAATTGTAAGGAAGAAAAGATTTGCCTGGATACATACTGTATCACCACTTGCTATAGCAAAATTTAGTGACTTATCTTTATAATAAAAATGCTAACTATAAATTTTATGTATAATGCAATAGAAGAAGGATTCTAAACTAGTACAAATCCCACAAATTCTAACAAACATCCCATTTGCAAAGTAAAGAAATCACCTTGCATAATGAATGGTTGTACTGGCAATAAGGTTGTGTCAAAATTTATTTTAGTTTCAACTTGGTTTAATTAATTAGTTAATTTTAGTTAATTTATTTTTAGTTTGAGTTGTCCGTAGGCTCCTTCGAGATTTGTATATTGAGGTCTAGTGATTATCAGTAAGTATTCTGCAGCCTGAATTCTGAGATTTCATTCTAATAGGCAGTACCATGTAAAAAGTTTTAAGCCACAGACAAGTGAAAATTGTAAATTTTTAAAAAATATTTTTAGTTATTGACTTGCTTTCAGGAGTCAAAGGTGCCTAAGTTTAGTACACAGTGGTTTTCTTTATTATTTAACACTACATGTTGATAAGGTATCTAACTAGTCCTTAGTGGTATAACAAAGAGAATGTAATAGACTTTATACATATTTGTCATAGTACATGATAGAAAGAGAATGTTTAAATTCTACCTGTGTGGAGTGACTGGAAGCTGTTTGATCTCCATTTGATTCATTACAAGATTTTCAGCTCATTTCATCTCTTTTAAAGAAATATTTTTCAGGAAGCAGACCTTTATTAAGAATACGTATGTATTATTTATGTGTATACATATATATAAATAGTACATATTAACATACATATTCTTGAAAATTTTGTTGAAAATACTATCATAGTTAATGTAAACTGAAGACATTCCAGTATTACTTAATATTTTGGTGAACAAGATTGTTTTGAGATGTAAGATAATCAAAATAAAAACTTGTTTTATTACTTATTGCTCTTTTATATTGCAGTCACTCAGTTGGAAAATACTGATCTTTTCCGTTGATGAGATGTTCAACACAGATTCCCAATGTGTCATTTTTGTTAAGCCTGCTTTTCTTTTTTGTGCTTAGTAATTTTAGCTTTAATTCTGGTTTATGTTAGTAATTTTATTATTTTTATTAACAGAAATTAATTTTGAAAATGTGAAAGTTAAAAGCAAGACAAAGCATAAAACTATCGCCTCAAATATAATTTTGAGTTCAAACCACCAGTTTTATATTGTAAATTAGAGACTGAAGATCTGTAGTTGAAAAGGTATATAATACTACACAGTTGCTTTCATGCCCAGTTAAATGTAATAAGTAGTTTTGTAGAATACTGTGCTTGTTTTTTACAGTGTGTTTTTGAGGTGACTTCAGATTTACTGCTGGGAAAATCTTTAACGTTCAAAGTAAATTGTTCTATTGGGGAGTTTTTGATGTCCAATAGGGGCAGAATACTATGATAAACAAAATAGCTAAATTCCCTGAGGCAAACTTACTTCATTACCTCATTTATGGGTCAGTATGCCAAGTTTAAAAAGAAAGGTGATTGCTCTGGAGCAATTCACATGGCAGAAAATTTTGTGATAGTTGAACTGAACTAATAATTAAGCTGAGCAATAACAAACTTTGATAGAGTAACAGTAGGAAAAGAAAAAAAGCCAAGCAAAACATGTTTTATTTGTTGTACATATTAGTCCTAGTTTTTCTATAAAACTAATAGAAATTGGGTTGTTTCCAATACAAATCTCTGTTTGATTATCTTTGCAAGACTTTAAAGGATTTCCCACCTTTACACTTGCCAGTTAAGAAAAGGAGCATTTTGTATCCAGTATTTTCAGATTGTTTACTTTGGATTTTATCTTAACAAATTGATTATTGAATGCAAGCTGATCATACTGCTATAAGAAAGAACATATATCTCTTCAAGCTTCTTTGTATGATATAAAATTACAGTATATTACACTACTGTATTTGCCATACTGACCTACACATGCATGACTTGGATGCATATTAATTAATGCTGTAAACTATTAACTCTGACCTAATACTCCAGTTGGAATGATAAGTAGGGAGTGCTGTGTTGCCACTTCTGACCAGCACTATGTGGGAAGTTTTTAAGTGTAAATTGCTGCGCCTGCAGGAATTTGGGAAAATCACAGCTCATTAGCTGCTTCTGTTGAAATGTTGGCTTCCCTTTGTACAGAGATCCTGAAAGAACCATGGAAAATGCTCTTTCAGGAGTCATTGGCTTGCAAAGAAACAAGATAACACCAGTCAGCTGCCCGATTGATAGAATCATGGCATAACAGAAAATAGCTTGCAGGGACTTAATCATCTGGAATAGCAGTACTGGATCGGATTATTTAAAGGAGATATTTCTGTGTCAAATGTTTTGTATTTTTCTGATATATGGTAAGAAAAGTAGTTTGGTTTTTTTCTTCCTTACTTACATATATTCTTGAAAGGTTGTTATTTCTTTCTACCTCAGTGAAATCCTCTTTATCCTCTTGGTCTAAAATTTGTTTTCCTGAATTGTAGATTGAAATATATCTGGTAGAAATGAAGTCTTCATTTAATAGTAAAGATAAATTTGAAGGAGAATTTATGTGTGCCTCTGAATTTAATTGATGAGAACACTTTTAATAGATTGAGAAAGTATTTTAATTTTTTTATTTAATGTTTTATCTGGGAGGAATTTGAACTTCTGTTGTGGTTAATCTATTTTACTTCCTAACATGTTAACTATATATATGCCATATGTGTGAAGTGAAATAGTCAACAAAATAATGTCATTAAGTACAACACCATTCAAAAAAAGTACCTTTGTTCCATAATGAACTAGTAATTACTGCATTCAACAATTAAAAACCAGTAAGTCTGCTTAAAGACAAGGTACAAGTTAGAATTTGCTAAATCAATATTCTAGATATTTACTCATAAAATACGTTTTGTGGAAACACACACTGCTTACATATCTTTAAAGACTAGTACTTGTCCGGTTATGTAATAGCTTGCAATAAAGCCATTTAGAACTAGGAAAGTGAAGTATTTCTGTCTTTGCTTAAAATAAGAACATAGTCTAAATGTGACGATTTTTAGTTACTATGAAATAAACACTTCAGAAAAATGTTTGCACTAAGGTTTTTTTTGTTGTTGTTCTGCAGTCTCAGTTTGAACTCAGGGTATTCCATATTCGTGGGGAACATGCTGTATCAACTGCTCAGCTTGAGGAAACCATTGCACATCTGAAGAATGAACTCGATAATAAATTAAACAGAATAAATGAAAAAGCAAAGGATATCGGTGTTTCTACTGAAGATGATAACCCACCAAAGACATACCGAAATGTATGTATACAGACTGACAGAGAAACTTTCATAAAGCCTAGTGAAGAAGAAAACAGAGCTGTGAAAAATAACCAGATAGTACCCAGAAAGCTTAATATTTCTTCTTTGTCACATAGTATTTCTGCCCAAAGTGAAAATAAGGACAATTACAATGTACAGTCTTCAGAAAGTGTCTTATCTTGTCAACCAAAACAAATGCTGCCTCCTCCACCACCACCGCCACCTCCTCCTCCCCTTCCTGATTCTTCACTACCAGGTTTAGTTCCTCCACCACCACCTTTGCCAGCGGGTCTGACTTCACTGACATCTCAGTTTGGATCTAGTCCACCACTGCCACCTCCACTTTTTGAAGGCTGTAGGAATTTTCAAGCACCACCGCCACCACCACCACTTCCAGGGTCGGGACCTCCTGTTCCTCCTCCACTGCCTGGATCTGGTTTACCTCCACCCCCTCCACCTCCAGGGCCTGGGTCCTTTTTTAATAGCACTTTATCGTCAAACCAAGGTCCTCGAAAACCTCCCGTTGAACCTAGCCGTCCCATGAAGCCTTTGTATTGGACACGGATACAATTGCAAGGTAGCAGGTAAAATATATTTATTTGGACTTAGAGTTGCTATTTATAGGCCATGATACAAGGGTATGTATACTAATTAAGACTTAATAACAAAAACTTAACAGTCTTGGAATGTGTAACAAAATCAGCGTAGAGGCATGGAATTTACATGTTTTAAGAAAAAAATTGAATCAGTTCTAGAAGTCTAAAAATAGATCACCAGAAATTACTTTGAAATATTAAATATAAATTAGAATTATATGCATTATAAATGAAAATTATGTGCATTATATCAAAAAGAAATTTTGTCCTTTTTTTCCCCAAAATCCAAGTACTCCATGGGCCACTGTAGTGACAGGGTAGCACTGAAGAGAAAAAAGGTAGCCAACAGATTAGAAAGATTTTTTTTTTTTTTTTTAATCTTAATTAGAATTGAAATGTTAAAGTTGGTGAGGTGAGAACCTAGAGTTTCATTTTTGCTTTCCAGTCATTTCAGGTGATACCATCTTCAGAGCACTATGTTGTGTCATCCTCTGTGATGCCAGTTCTAGAAACAGTTAAACTGGAACCTAACCTCTGTGTATAGTTCCGTCAGAGCAGGAAAACTAAAGCATATGTATAAATATATGTAGCTCAGGAACCTGTAGCATGACGCATCCATTATGGAGGAGGTTCAGTACTGACAGACACCGCTGTAGTAAAAAAAAAAAAAAAAAAAATTTACCAATCTTACTCTGATTTAGTGCTGGGATGAAACTCTTGAGGGAAGGGATGCCATCCAGAAGGACCTTGACAGGCTTGAGGAGTGGGCCCATGCAAACCTCATGAGGTTCAACAAGACCAAGTGCAAGGTCCTGCACCTGAGTTGGGGCAATCCCCAATATCAATACAGACTAGGGGATGAATGGATTGAGAGCAGCCCTGCAGAGAAGAATTTGGGGATACTGGTGGATGAAAAATTGGACAGGAGCCAGCAAAGTGAGCTTGAAGCCCAGGAGGCCAACTGTATCCTGGGCTGCACTTAAAGAAGCGTGGCCAGCAGGTTGAGGGAGGTGATTCTTCCCCTCTACTCTGCTCTCGTGAAACCCCACCTGGAGTACTGCCTTCAGCTCTGGGGCCCCCAACATAAGAAGGACATGACCTGTTGAAGCAAGTCCACAGGAGGGCCACAAAGTTGATAGGGGGCTGGAGCACCTCCACTGTGAGGACAGGCTGAGAGAGTTGGGGTTGTTTAGCCTGGAGAAGAGAAGTCTTGGGTGGGGACCTTATTGCGGCCTTTCAATATATAAAGGGTGCTTATGAGAAAGATGGAGAAAGACTTTTTACTGAGGCCTGTAGTGACAGGACAAGGGGCAATGGTTTTAAACTGAAAGGAGGTAGATTTAGACTGCATATAAGGAAGAAATTTTTTACAACAAGGTTGGTGAGACACTGGAACAGGTTGCCCAGAGAAGCTGTGGATGCCTCATCATTGGAAGTCTTCAAGGTCAGGTTGGGTGGGATTTTGAGCAACCTGATCTAGTGAAAGATGTCCCTGCGTGTGGCGGGGGGGGTGGGACTAGATGATGTTTAAAGGTCCCTTCCAACCCAAACCATTCTATGATTCTATGAAAGCAGTCTAATAGTATATACTGTTCTGGCAAATCTAAAGTTACTATGAAAGATAGTGTTTTATTTATTTGTTTATAAGGGATCATTTGGTGAACAGGCATAAATAAACAATTTTTGGACAGTCTTTTTGAAATGATCCCACAAACTTTGTTTATGCTATCCATTTATTCAGCTGGCAGAGGAAAAGAAGTGCTCACATTTACACTTTCTGAGCCAGCATACATACCTTACTGCCACAGCAGTGTGTGGTTTCAGTGCTGCTCAGCTGCTCTTTTGGATTTTGGCTGATTCCAACTTTGCTTCAAGTGTTTATTAATGTAACATAGAGCTCCATTAAGAGGGTTGGCTCACAAAGTATTTTGGGGGGATGCTTAAGTGACATGGACTATTTCTAGTTTAACAAGGAGCTGCTAGAATCATGAACTAAAATTCAGGTCCTGTGTTATGCAGGTAATGAAATCACATGATTATTCAGGTCTTAAAAGTAAAATCATTATTATCTGTGTTCAAAATTATTTTAGCATAAGTGCAGTTACAAAGATGTTAAGTTTATTTTAAACATTTTAATAATTTACATTATTATATCTGACATATATGCTATACTATATATACACACTATATTACATACTGTATTATATACTGTGACTATATTAGGTATTATTATATGTTATGAATTACTGTATTACAGATTATTTGTTTAGATTACTTAATATATTATTATAATAGGTCACTATAAATTATTTAAGTATTACAAATTATTTATGATTATTCTTAATCGTTTATTTTAAGTTATTTTTAGGATTATGTTTAAACACAGTAAATATCTGCATTTAAATGTATTTAAATATGAGTTTTGTTTTAGCTTACAATTTTGATGAGAAAGAATCATTATTCTGGTATAATAAAGCATAGTAAGGTGTTAATATTTTATATAAAATGTTTGACAGGAACAAACAATTAATGAAATGTCAGTTGTATTCTTTCAATGATTCAGAATTAAAGGCATTGAAATATTTTGGAGCAGGAAGTTTGAGCATTTGGGGTTTACTTTCCAAAAATTACTAGTGATAAATTGTTTCATAGTGAATAAATACTTGGTCCATAAATAAACCTTATAGTAATTCTTCCTATTGATTCACTGAAATCAAAATATTTTTCTGAAATATTGCTGGTTCACCAAGCTTTTGCTGGATGCAAGATAAGGTCTAAGTCATAGCTTTCTCGTGAACTGCTGGTTACCAGATATAATGGTCCAGCATTTTCATGGTCTGCACTAGAACTGGAAACTTCTTCAAGGGTCTGCTGCTTAGATCAGCAGCTATCCAGGACTTCAAATTTCTTGTTACAGAGCCAGAAAGAATCCTTCATTCTTCAGGGTGATTGACACTACAGCTAGTATCAAGGAGGGTGAAACTGTGGAGCTGTAAGCATGTCCTGTGACACAGAATATGCTGCATCAGCAGATGCTAATAGAGTTCCTTAAACATTCACAATGGTAAATTTACAGTTGTGTATTAAGTATAAAAAATCCTAAATTTGAAAAAAAAATTAATTTTGGTTCCCCTTAAATTGATAGGTATTGCATTTTGTTGCATATTACATCTAATAAAAATGTGTTTAGTGACATCAGCCATTTGTATTTTACAGGGGTTTTAATCACTTTTTTTTTTTTTGCAAATAATTTCACTGCCTTTTAGTGACATCTGCTGGAAGAAGTGGTCCCACCTTCTACTGATAAACAGACAAGAAGAGCACTCAGAAGTTTTGTCACACATATTTTCTTGAAACACTGAAATTTTGAAACAAAACTCATTCAGAATTGAAGTGCCATGTTTGCAGCACTACATAGTATTTTCCCCAAATCCAGATAAAACTAGAGGATTGTGTAAAAAAGTTCCTAAGTGTTCCAAAACTAAAGCTGGTCTTGGAACGCAAAAAAAGAGGGAAAGATAATCCACATTTAAAATTTAGTTGGTTGGCTGGAGCAGAATACTGGGTGGTCTCCCAAAATATAGGCCACATAATTACTCTAGTTTCTCAGAACTGCAACAAGGATAAATATGAGCATACAACATCTGCAGCTAACCTGAAGTCAGTCAAGTCCTATACAAGTGACCCCAAATGCTCTTAAAATATACTTGAATAAAGTTTCTTCACTATTTGTTGATACTGTTTATTTTTATAGGTCTAAATAGATTACTAGGAATTTCTCAAAAAAGCTACTCTTGAAATACCTCCTCCTAATCCTAGTTGAATGACAGAAGTGTCTCGATGTATTTGCACAAGCTGCAGTTGTAATATTTGATTGTTGTACAAAAAACTGTACAATACAAATAATGCATTTTGATAGTCTAGCAGGCATGGACACTAAATAGCTAAACTTTTCGCTACAGCCTTCTGCAAAACATTTTGGCTCCTTACAAGAGCAAGGTATAGGGAAGGAATGCTGTTTATATAGCAGTAGTACATGTTGCTTTGAGTTTTAAATCTATAATGGATTTTCATCTATTATGGTTAGATCTGTTATGGTTCTTCATAAATGTTTATTGGAAATTTTATAATTACCTTTCCCTTTGTAGGAAAACTGCTATGCCAACATTATGGGAATCACTAGAAGAACCTGATATACTTGATACTACTGAATTTGAATATTTATTCTCCAAAGACACCACTCAGGAAAAAAGAAAACCATTATCAGAGACTTATGAAAAAAAAACCAAGGCCAAAAAGGTATTTATTGTTTCTTTGTGTTTTCTTTTTTTTGTGTCACTGTTTAGTTTTACATTTTAAGAAACCCCTCTTTTTATTTACAGTTGAACGAACAGATAATAGATGGGTTTGTAAATCTCATTTTAAAGCAAAATAGGTGGACTGCTGATTCAACTCTTGCTTGAGAATGCAAGGTTATTATTTAACTTGGAAGATTTCTTGACTTTGAAAATGAAAGTTCCCTATCCTAGTGAGGTAGAAAAAACATCATATAGGAGAACTGAATGAAAGTTCTAATATGAGTCTAAAAGTGCCAATATTTCAGGCTGTGTCTGTCCTTGAACTGATCTATAGTTAAACACTGTCATTAAGTTACTCTAGCAAACCACTTTTCCATTGAGATGAATTTTATTGGAAAAACAAAGCATAAAGCAAGATAGGACTGTTAGACATTTTGAATAAGGAATGCCAGAAAACTTTTTTCTGGTATAGCTAAAGAGCTGTGTCAGGAAGGGACAGGATGATCATGTCTTTAATGGCCAAAAGTTTATGCAGTAACTCTGTCATTACCGTAGCACAGATATTGTGTGCCTCAGACATGATTCATTACAGAGAGAGCTTGTAGTTGTCAATTACTATGTGCAGATAGGACAAAGAAATGGCATTAGTAGTATTTGCTGCAGGAAAAATTCTAGGCTGAATAATAGTCGATACTGTTTTCCTAAAACAATGTGGTTATGTATTAGAAACCCATTTAAATATATACTATATTGTAAATCTCTTTGAGCTTACCTGCTTGGAACCACAAGAGGGCACTTTGTATGTAGGCTATGCTATCTGTGTTCAACTTTATAATACATATAATGTGAAATATACACACATAGATACATATCAGTGCAATCAGATCTTTCAAAACATCTTTGATCATAAACTTACTGTATTGTGTCTTAGCGCAATAGTTAATGAGAAGTGTAAATAAGGCTATAGGATATATAAGATTCAAACTCATGTGATGCAAAAAGTGAAAAATGAAAAATGGGGCCAGGATGGGGGCATGCTGGCATTTGTAAGTACACCCTAAAGAAATTATTAATTGTTGCAGTCCTTCAAATGTTAGATTGAAGTTGGACATGAACATCTCTGTGAAAAATATTTTGACGTATTTTACTTGACAAATGATTCAAGTGCATATGGCACATAGTACACAGCTGTATCTGTAAATCCCAGTAGCTGACATTTGTGATGCCCTCTTTCTAAAATGTATTTTCACATTTCATTGATTTACCTCTTTCAGAAAGATTTATTTAATAGGAAACACAGGTTTCTAAAGAACTTTGAAGAAAAACATAACCAATGTAACTTTAATGGAGAAATAATATGCACAAATAGTTACCTTTGTATTTCAAAATCACAGCAATTGAGTGAATATACCTATTTCTCCAGGTGTATGACAGCAAACCAGGTAGAGAATTAGGCCTGTATTCTGAAAGATTAAATTGCATTATTCTTTTCTCTTGCTACTTTGTAAACTAACTTACTTGCTACAGCAGCACAATTTTTTAATGATCTCTCTTAACTTTATCCAAAATCAAATTGGATAATAGTTACTCTATACAATATAGGAAATAATGATATAATAATAAGTACTATTTCTTGTGAGAAACCAATGTATTTTCTTACAAAGATATCTTCTTTACTTATGTCACTGTTTGAATTATTCTGGTTTGTTATTAAATGTAAGCTTATTATTTTAAGACTAGGTATATATTTCCATTAATGAAATGGAAAAAGTTCATTTAAAGTACTGTGTGAAAACACAAAAGTAAATCCCCTAAGAGATAAAGTAACAGTTATATCTATTATTATGTCCTTAGTTTGGTAAAACTCATGCGATTATGATCATGGTGTGATAAACCATGGGAACTGTAGGGCTTTCAGTGAAAATTTCAAAAACTCATGGTCAAAAATACCAAACTTTCTGTCATTTGGTCAATTTAAAAATTAAAAATAAATCAGCTTTTAGAATTCAAATTAAATTTGACTCTAAGTGAGTATAGAAGCATTTTCTTATTGTATATCCTGTCTTTCAGCCTTTCTTTGTTAAATGGCTCATGGTAGCAGATGAATATTTTTACAGACAGTTGGTCCTCTTAGATGGTCCTGTGTTTTTTATTTGTCTCTCTGAAAGCCCAGATGTCTGCAGCCTGGCTCCAATGGATCAATCTTGGTGGGCTGCAAGCGATACAGTAGTTGAGAGGCGTTTTATTTAGTTACAGGAGGGTTTATTAGTAGATTATAACAGAAGGGTCCTGTAGGTTAATGTAAAACTTATCAGTTCTGCTGGCTTCATTTGTGCTTTCTCATGCTTTTTCTTGGCTTTCAACTTTTCTTGCGTTTTTTCCAACAATTATATCTATCTACTAGGGTTTTAACAACAATCTTTTTCTTTGCTTCAGTACAGAAATTTGTGTTTGTCTGGTTTTAAGAATGCTACAGGTGTAATAGTGTATGGAATTGTATAGTCTGGTTAAAGATGCTTTCTACAGGCATTAAGACAGACACATGAATCTTACGAGCTTCATCATATTATAATTTTTAGCTGATGCTGCATCATTTTGTATTTTTTTGTAAATTCCTTTCTCATGTTCTATAAAAAAGCCTTCCAGAGCAATATACAGGTACAGTGATAGAATCTGGAGTAGTAGTTTGTGTTTGGAGTAGGTAAGCTATTTTATTTAATAATACATGTTAGTGCTGACCTATTCATGGCATTAAATCTCTTCTCCTCTGCACAAACTTTGTCCTATTTCATACTTTCTTATACAAACTAAGTTCGGCTTGCTTGGTATTTAGAGAAATGACAAACCAATAGGTGGTGCAGGATTGCTTATTAAAACACAATTACTTAATACTTTTCTCCTTGAATGAGAATTACATCAGTACCTCACAATCAAGTTCCTTATGCAATTGGAAGTAAGATTCTATCTTTGGAATTAGAGGGGAATTGTTTCTCATTTAACTGGGTCTTCTTTATAAAACTAAGGAGGCTTTAACAATTAGTGGCTTGCTGAATTATGACTTCTCTACCATCTATTTACATTTCTCTTGCAGTTCAAATAAAATAATATTATTCAATTTATTCTCAGAATTCTTATTTTTGTGAAACCACTGAAATAATCTGTATGCTTAATCTGTGGAATGAATGCTTCTGTGGAAAGTATCACATTAAGCCTATAGAAATTTCACTTTGTTCTATTCTTACCCATTTGTCCACATAGTAGACACCTCATGGCAACACAGATTAAAATATTCACCATATGCTGTGGTTTTGTTGCTTACCAGCTGATAGGTATCTACCATTTTCAGCCAGAAGTATCTAAATCTTGTCCTACATAAATGGAACAGATGGTCTGTATTCCAGTACGATTTGACAAGTTATGTTCAGAAGGGAAACTTCTGAATATATACTTGTATTCATATATATATTTTTATATATATACACTGTATTTGCAATATGATATGTAATTTATAAAATAAATACTTATAATATAGAATATATATATACTCCTACATATAGTCAGTGTCAAAACAGCAGAATACATTTGAGGATTCTGTGGGCATCTATGCTGGGTCTGGTTACCTTGGTATTTTCACTTATGACCTAGATAATGGAATATTAACTCTGCAGCCACCACCTAGTTGTGAGAGGCTTATACTGGAGTAGACCCTTCAGTAAGCTTTCATGTATCAGAGATAGGGTCTGAAATATAGGGATAAGCACAAAGCTGATACAGTTAACCACAAGGTTAATACAGTTAAGGATATTCAGCTACCTAGAAATAAGATGGGGTACAACTGGCTAACTGTCTAGGTAATAGTTTAGCAGAAAGGATCTTGGGGTTATAATGGCTCACAAGAGGTAAATGAATTGTCAAATCATGGTACTACTAAAAAGGGAAAACAGAACTCTGATAGAAGTATTGCTTGCAAGACAATCTACTTAGCCATGTCTCAGTTAAGAACTGCATCTAGATTTAGGCACTACAGCCTTTCATTAAAAATGTTTACTAACTGTAAAGAGTCAATAGGAGTGAGAAAAGAATTGAATTATTATGATTGTTTAGTCTAGAAAAGAGAAGGTTGATTGGGAAATGCAGTAAATGTCATCAAGTGCATGCAGCTGCTGCAAAGAAAGATTACAAAAAGCTTTCTAAAAGTAAGGATACCAAAGGAATGCAGAACAATTTTGGCTAGGGAAATTGTGTTTCTGTATTGGGAGATCTTTAAGAAAATTTGTGTAGAATGATACACATCTAGTTGATACTTTCTTGAAGTGCAGAAATGCTTTGGATGACATTTTGAGTGCCTTTCCAACATCATGATTATGTTACTCAGTTAAAAGGCATAAAGTCCACTTTCTGTCCATTGTCCTATGGATGGAAACAGCTGACTATCCTTTTTTCCAGAGTGGAAGCACTTTCATGATTCCCAAATTCATTGCTTTTGTGCCTGCCAGAAAATGGCTTATTAATTGAGTTACGCTAGGTTCTAGAGGCTATCATCCTGACATGAGGATGAAATGATTAGAATTTGAAATGCAGTTGTTAAAAAATGAGATATTCTAACAAGTATGTGGGGAAAAAACGAAGTTAAGAATCTTCCAGCAGCAATGCTAATATAACTTCTTAAAGGCCTGCATAGAGGGTGATTTTATTCATTTTTAGGCATATATTAAATTATTTTGGAAAAAATGTAGCACATTCACTTGATAGTGATACAATGTAAACATAATATAGTTTAAATGAAGGTCAGATGCACCTTTCTAGTACACTTACATATTCTTGAAGTTTGTTACAGTAATGCTTACCTGGGCTTAGAAGCTCTGCAAGGTGTGTGGCTGTTCATACTTCTGTGATCATGCACTCCTTTGGAAAATCTAGCAGCTTTGGAAGAACCTCTTATTTTTTTTCCAATTCTACATCCTCTGAAATATTTCAGAAAACCCTTATTCTTGTGCATTT